TTCTGACTCAGCCGGCGCAGTTTCTCCAGAGCGGCTGCAGGAGCGTTGATGACGACACAGCCATTTCACGATTGGCCAGATTCACGGGATGACAACTATCACGTGTGTTTTTGGGTTTATTCTAACCTTTTCAATTCCAATAATAGCCACAAATCTGTGTTTTTAGAACAGTAAAAGCTTTTTTACTGTAGTCACAATGATATATTGAGTCACGTTTACCATACAACACTGATGAAAGCATATATTCCCCCACTTTATTAGTATTTAAATAGTATATATTTACATTGAACTTTATTCTTGAACAGATGGCGATGTATTAAGCCGTATATAATCAGTATATACCCGACTGCAAGTCGAACGCACCTACTGTCTGTTTAGCTTCGCCCACCGATTCTACTTCACTCTGTTTAGCTCCGCCCACCGATTCTACAGCTCTGCCTGTTCTACTTCACTGTCTGTTTAGCTCCGCCCACCGATTCTACTTCACTGTCTGTTTAGCTCCGCCCACTGATTCTACAGCACTGCCTGTTTAGCCCCGCCCACCGATTCCACCGATTCGCCTATTCAAACAGAGCGTTCTGATGAGGAGGTCAAAACAGGACAGAAAATAGCCTATTACTTATGAATAATGATGTTTTTTTATGTCAATCTTGATAACATTATAAGTGGACCTCAGAGAACAGTACAAAATAATAAAAAAGGCAGTTCATGACCCCTTTAATGCCTACTGACACTGGGCCAGTACATTCAAAGGTACTAATTCTAATATACCCTTAAGTTTCATACTTTCATCACATAGAGAGCGTACCTCTCAGTCATAATTTTGTTTTATAATATGTTACAAATTAATCCTTATACTTCATAATATATCCTTATCCTTATCATTTTAATTTCAGTATAGAACAAAAATCGTATTGTAGTTTCTCTGTCTCAGGAGCAAAGCACAAGACATTAATGTTGGCTTTAAAGCTTGGTTTGTAGCTTTGGTGAAGTAGATCCGATATTTTTCTTGTCCTCCATTTTAACGTCAATTGTCTCAACATTGATGGGATGTTTGGAAAACTGGTTCCGTTTCTTCTGTACACTGAAGTGCACTCCATAACAGAAGTAGATGAGCAAGCCTATATTTCATTAGGATATACAATCATGCTTATTATGTACAATGATTGGTATATGCTGAAATGTGCATGTACTGTAAACTCATATGTGCATGATGAACAAGATTTATTCTCCAAACCACTTCCTCACACATTAATTTCCTGACAGTGTTTAATTTGAATTATTTTCCTCAATATACTGTAAATATTCATGTTGTCTTACCCACTGCCATCCACACTGCATAGCGAATCCACGTTTCACCCCCCAGCTGGACCATTAAGTAGATATTGATGAATGTACTGAAAATAGGGAGTATTGGCAGAAGTGGGACCTACAGAAAAATGTGATAATGTTTCAAGCAGTCTTGAACTATTTCTAAACAGAAAATGTCCATGTTCTTAACAACAGTAGTTCTCAGCTGTCGGATCACAACCCGATCATGTCTAATGTACGAAAAGTACACTTTAGCATACTTTTAAAAAGAGTACTTAGAAATAATATACTTTAATAGAAAATGCTTAAGTGTGAACTGAAGGTAATGTTTTTGGACACTTAACTGCATGTTACTTGCAATTAAATTAAAATTAGCCATATCACTAGGTGATGGATAAATGTAAGACAAAATAGCATAGAGTTTGATTATTTTGATTATTATTGATGTAAAGCACATTTCTTCTGTATGCCATGTTAATATAAAATTGTAAATTATTTTGACCTATGCATGGTAGTATCAATACATTTCATGACTGAGTTTAATGAATTTTTTGTTACTTATTAATGATTTTGTCATTTTGGTACTATGTTGGGTTGTCAAATGTAAAATCTGGGGTCTGAAGCAAAAGCATTTGAGAACCACTTTTAGAACAACACATCTATGCACATTTTATGCATTACTTGTTGCTAAAATGTAAAAAATGTTGATGATTTTTTCACCCAGTGAGTGACAGCTTACCATAAATGCAGCCTTGCTACCATTCTGCGGCTGTCGCCAAACAATAATGATAGTCATGAGAAACGCCACCGAAACCAAAGTGATAATCAGAATAATCCACCACTCCGCTATCAGACCAGCCTGTACACCTTTTGTGATGGTCACACTCAGGATAACCGCGAACACAACTAGAAATCACATTAAAAGTAAAAATGAAGTGGAGAAAGCGTGTTAGCATGAAATCATTTTAGCATAAAATTAGGTTAAATGCACTTGAATGTTGA